GGTCAATATTTTACAGAATTTGAAAACTTCTGTAGGCTATCATATTATTCTAAAAGCCTATTTTACTGACAGACATTTTACCGAATTTACAGCAATATAAATTCGGCAAAATGTCTGTCAGCAAAAAAGAAATTTGGCAAAATATTTTCAAAGAAATAGCATATCAGGAAAATGTACAATCGAAAAAATGGTATGTTGGTGAAATAAGTTTTCGAATAAGTAGACTTATGAAAATAGGGATTAGCTGCTAAATGGAAATTCGGTAAAATTGGTTATTAATTAAATAGTATGTCAGAAAAATAGAATATCAGGTTTATGTTATGTTAGCAAAATAGACTATCGGTGTTACAGCTTCGGTAAAATAGTGTTTTGGTGAGCCAGATTTTAGAAAGTTAAGAAATAACATATACATACGAGTTAAAAATTTTCTTAAAATTGATCGAAGATATCTTGGCAACCAATCAATCAAATTCGATGAAAATTTTTTTATTTGAATTCTACAGAACTGTAGAATTCAAATAAAAAAAATTTCATCGAATTTAATCAATTGGTTGCTGAGATATCTTCGATCAAAGTATTGTAAACAATTTCTATATGACATACATATAGGTTTAAACCTTTATCTTGGCAACCAATCGATCAAATTCGATGAACCTTTTTTTTTTATTTGAATTCTACAGTTCTGTAGAATTCAAATAAAAAAAATTTCATCGAATTTGATCGATTGGTTGCCGAGATATCTTCAACCAAAGTTTAAGAAAAGTTTTAAAACATATGTTATATAGAAATTGTTTACAATACTTTGATCGAAGATATCTCGGCAACCAATCGATCAAATTTGATGAAATTTTTTTTATTCGAATTCTATAGTTCTGCAGGATTCAAATAAAAAAATTTTCATCGAATTTGATTGATTGGTTGCTGAGATATATTCGATCAAAGTATTGTAAACAATTTTGGCACAGTTTCTATGTAACATACATTCAGTTTAAAATTTTCTTAAAATTGATCGAAGATATCTCGGCAATCAATCGATCAAATTGAATTTTTTTTTATTCAAAATTCTACAGAACTGTAGAATTCAAATAAAAAAATTTTCATCGAATTTGATCGATTGGTTGCTGAGATATCTTCAATCAAAGTTCAAAAAATTTAAAAAAAAAAAGGTGATAAAATCGAATAATACGCATGGTGCGAATAGCATATGTAGTGCAATAGCAGTTCCGTATTAAAAATTTGGTTATTTTTTAGTTAATAAAATAAATGATTTGTCTGTTTAAAAATCAATAATAATCATAAATATTTAATTTTAATCGATTAAAAAACTGCAATTATTATTATTAACAATTAATATTCGATTAAAAACTGCAATTATTATTAACAATTAATATTTGATTAAAAAACTGCAATTATTATTAACAATTAATATTCGATTAAAAAACTGCAATTATTATTAACATTTAATATTCGATTAAAAAACTGCAATTATTATTAACAATTAATATTAATTACGAAATAAGACTAACATCTAAATATTAAATTTACGATTTAGAGAAATTATAGCTAAATATTCCCAAGAATTTTGTCGATCTGATTTTTTATACTTAAATGGTATAAATCGACCAAAAATGTTATGTATTGGAATAATACATTCATGATGAATCAGGTAAAATTGAGTGTCTCAAAGTTTAACATTACAAATTTCATCGCTACTAAAATAAAACCAAGTTGTTGCCAAATTTATATGTTTATACCATCTAATGTATACCAATTTGTGTTCTATAAACCCACTCAGAAGATTTACTGAATAACTAAAGTAATACTGGACTTGTCCAGGATACAGATCAATACTTCTATCTTGATTTACAAACTGGGCCAAAATAAACAAACTTTTTATATAATGAGAAGATATGTCAAAGCCATATATTTCAGACCCTATTCGGTATCTTCTGAACTGGTCTGCCAGGTTACAAACAATAATTGAGTTATCAAGAATGTCAGCAAAAGGTTTTCTAAAACTTAATATTTCATAAGCCACAGTATAATATTCCACTAACAAATCTAATAATTCAGAATGAATTATTAACTTTTTATTTTGTGGTAGTAATAATTCACCAGAAAATCATTCTGAACTAGTAATAACTAATTCTTGGATATTATATATATTAAATAAAAATCTATACATTTCATCAGAAGAAAATTGATCTGTATCTAAAAGTGATCCTACTTCTAATCGATTTTTCAACAAGTTCAGACCTTCTATTTCAGATGTAGAAGCTGTCAAGCTGACAATTCAACTATCATTTATCAATCTTTGCATTAATTCTGGTTCTATTTTTGATGACTATTCAGCAAAGACCCTAATATTCTATTTATCCTTTCAAATAAAAAACACTAAAAGGAATACAGTAGACCATAATCCTGAGTATATTCACATAAATGTAGTGAAAGATACAGATTAGGAGTAATTTTTTCAGGTTCATATTTTCTTTCGATTAGCTTATTAATTTAATCAACCTTTCATGTACTTCATTCATTAGGTTGTATTTCAGTATTCTGGATACCAAGATCTGGCAAATTTTTACAAATTGTGTTAAAATTTGCCGATCATCATCCGAAAGGTGTTTCTAGAGAACAACAGTAGCATAAATTATAAAAAAATTTCATCACTGATTGGCCGTAAAATTCAAAAATCCTTCTCCGCAATTCAATTTCTCTGGAATCTGGCCAATATCTGATGGAACTTGGATCTTATTCATATTTGATTAGATTTTTGTGAATATATTAGGCATCAATATGCCTTCATCGATCCATATTTGTTTAACAATCCATTTAGCAATATCTAAGAACAGGCAATGCATAGGATCAACGATAGTATGACAAATAGGATTAAAATAGTTTAGGCAAAGTAATCGGACTATTGAACTTTATTGTCTTTAATAAAATGCTTCCTTTTGGTATCAGAATTACAATATCTCTATTCACGAGCCTTTAGCCGATATATTGCTGAATCTTTTTAAATAAACTATTCATTCATATTTTGTATATCACTGAAATTAAACCATTTGTTAATATAATTAGCACTTTTCTCACAACGTTGACATGCTACTAATGCCGAAACATGCTCACATAACTTCCGAGTGGCTGGAACATCACATGCAATTAGTATCAATACCGCACGAATTGTTCTTCTTTTTGAAAATTCGGCTGATGAAGTTAATTTCACACTATGCCAAAGAGACTCCAATTTGTCAACAACTAGAGAAAGATAGTGGTTTATTTTATGTAAGCTCACTTCATCTGGCCCGGATAGTATTCCTAAAACCAATATATTTTCATATTTAAATCGAATATCATGTAGCAGATTCGCTATGGATATATATAATATACCAGTACTATGCGATATACTATCAAATGATTGAAACTAGTCAAGGTTTACTATTAAACCCAAATATGAATCTGCCTTTTTATTACAAAAAAATAACATGAAATCTTCGTCAAATGGTTCATCCTTAAAGGTTTTTC